TAAATATTACCAACAGATAAAAATTTTCCTTCGCTGTCTTAAGACTGTCTCGGGGAGAGTTTTTATCAGTGTATTTGTTCATAACTTGAAGGTTAATTTAAAGAAATGTCACCTCTATCACCTAAATGATATACCTTTTAGAAGGGTGATTTAATTGAAAAAAATGCCACATTGTTTCTTCCCAAGAAAAAAGGATATATTCCATTCTTGAGGTCTCTCTGTATATAGATACTGCACAAATAGATGTACATCTGTACATACGTATTTATAGGTATATATCTAACAAAGGTTTGATTTTGTTAAAATGAGATCTTCCTCTTCTGATTCATTATTCTCAGTGTCTTTCAAACTGTACTGTCTCTCACATTTCATTCGTTCATCAAGCATGTATTGAGTACCTTCTGCATGCTTAGCTTTATGTCAAATAGAAGGAAGAGGAACATACAAAAGAAATATAAGACTGTCTCTGCCCTTCAGAATCTTGGGATCTCTTCTAGAGGCAAGATAAAACGTGATACATTATTAAGGAATATTTGAGACTAGCGCCAGAACCAGTGGCACAGGTAACATGCATTTTACATTTATGCAGAATTTTAGAGCTTTGAAACACTTCCAGGTATTTGATCCTAAAAACAATCTTATGAAGTACACATTATTAAGCCTACGTTAGCGATGAGGAACCTGAAATTCAGAATTTTAAGCAACATGTCTCAAACAGATGATGAGTGGAAGAGTCAAGACTTAAGCCATAGTTTTCTGATTCTAAGCCCAGTGCTCATTTCAACACAGCACAGGAAACCAAGGACTGAGGTGCTCGACAAGCAACAGCCGGCCTTCCGGGGGAGGTTCAACTAAACTGGACCCGCACGTGAGCAGTGTCCAGCCAAACGTCCAAATTAATTTTAGTCTGCAAATATGCATACTTCAGGGTAACCATTGAGCACGACTACCATTTCCTTAGTTTTAGTGCCTCTACCTGCTCAGTAAGAGCTTTCCTCTCAGAAACGGGAATACCGAATATAATAAAAATCTGGCCTAGCAGGATCATAAAAATCTTAGATCATAAATGTAAATCTTAAAGGTCTGGTTTCTACTAATCCTTACACATTTTGTTTTCGCTGAGCACCGGGAAGCCTAACTACCCCCATCCTTTTCTAGCAACCACTCCCAACAACCACTTATTTTAAGATGCCAATGATTGACCCTCCTCGAATTCTACAAGTTCACCCTAATTTTGCCACCCGACCGCAGCCCCTGCCCGGACACCTTCCCCTCCCTCCCAAGGGCTATGATACCGAGTTCGGGTTCTGCAGGTCCCGTCGCGATGCTGTCACACAGCACTGACAGATAAGACGTGACCTTTCGACTCCGTCCTTGGGGACCTCCCACTGGCCTCGTAGCGTAGTTCCAAGCCCTGGAAACCGGCTCCCTGCTCAGGAGCGCAGCCCCTTGCAGCGCGCGGTCCGAAGCGATGTCTCCGGCAGTTAGAACGATGCTGGGCGCCCGGCTGTGCATCACTCCGCCCCATACTCCTGCCAACTGCAGAGCACTCGGTCCGGCAGCCAGTCCATCCCACCGCACAGCCACGTCTGGGCCAGCTGGCCTTTACTCAGGACCCCGGTGACACGTCGTTGACGGCGGCAGCGAAAGCCAAGGCCACCAGCCGCTGGTGCCCATCGCAGCCAACCTCAGACCCCCTTAGACCGGACCGCAGAAAAGCGTTTCTATAGGAACCCCCTGGGGATCACATGATGCACTCGGGCAGCCAATCGCCTCTTACCTCTACCCGCGGTCCGGCTTTCGGCCCTGCCTCCCGCCCCCGCCTCCTTCATCCAGCTCCGCCCCTTTCCTGCAGAGAGTCCGCGCCTGCGCACTGTGCCCTGCGCGCTCCCGCCCTCGCGCGCTCCCCCGGGGAGAGTGGAGGCGGCGTGGGCGGCTCGAAGAGAGCGTGAACCTGAGGAGGAAGAAGTGGGGCCGGCGCGCAGGCCCAGAACCGCCCGAGCCGCGGCTGCCGGCGACGCCCCAGAGCGGAAGAGGGAAGTGAATCGGGCGCCGGGCTGTGGGCTCCTGCTGGGCTGGGCTCGCTTAAGTAGCGGCTGCACGGAGAAAGGCCCTTGCCACTGGTCCGGATCGGGAT